TTTATCTTAATAATTCAGCAACTCATTCTTTTCACTTTGTTTTGGCAATTTAAAAATAAATCAAAACGTTAGTAGAACAATTAACAACTCACAAACTTTATTTACGAGGATGACAGCATATTAAGCATCTACAAGTCACAGGCGGATCTACGGAGGGGGGGAGGGCTTTCGGCCTGAAGCTCCCCCCAAAATGGTAAAATATAACCATGTTTTACAGAGAAAAATATTAAAAACTATTTCTTAAAGTATTATTGAATATTTAATAGTTGGCCGTTGCATTATAAAGGAAGGAGATGGTCAGGGGTTGCGGTCATAAAAAGGCTAAATAGTGGTAAAACTATTTAGGCTTTTTATGACCGCAACCCCGGACCATCTCCTTCCTTTTTTAAGTATTCTTGTTCGTTCAATTACATTTAATATAACTTAAGGAACCACTTAAACACCATTTCATATAAGTAGTTAATTTCATTCTTTTTTTTTTCAAATTATTTTTATGAAGATTTAAGAAAAAAAAATCTTTCGGGCTGAAGCCCCTCCCTCCCCAAAACTAAATCCTGGATCCGCTAGTGCAACAAGTGTATGACTACCCCTATTATATATATAATAGCAGGAAGTAAAACGAAGTGAGTTTTTTCTTTCTTAATTACCTAAAGTCTAGCAGGTAAGTTAAAATAAAAAAAATTCTGGAATGTACAAAAAACATTTATGGAATACTAGTTGTGTCTCTCGATTTGAGCATTGTTAAATTTGGTTACTAAATGCAAACTATGTTTACTGATATCTTGGTATGGCGTTGGCTAAATATCAATAAATCACTTGCAATTTTCCAAGGTTAAAGAAATATAATTCTGATGTTAATATCACTAATTTTTAATGAACTTTAAAATAAAATAAAAGATCTTAAAAATAGAAAATTGGTCTAAAACATTCATCCATGGAGATTATAAAATATAAATCAACAGTACTGACATTAATATTTCATATAATGTTATTACTTTTTCAAAAAAAATCATAAAATGAAGGAACAAAAATGTTAAATCAAAACATAGTTTTTTTTATTTAAAAGGTAATACTCTAAAAACCATTTCGAAAACCTGAAGTAAAAGTTGTTTGAATCCAATAAGCCAATTATCAACACCAGATTATCCTAGCCTCTATCATAGCATTTGGTTCCAGGGTCAGCCACGAACCCATAAACATCACCTCAACAGCTTTCTAAAGAAAGTAAACATTTTATGGAGGTTCAGCCTATGTATCTATAGTGGAAAGGCCTTCGTAAAACAGCATCAATTATACATATGCTTGACCCTTTCGTTACATTCTATTTCTTATGAAGAAGAAATTAGTTGAAACTTTGCCTACAAGGTCAATTGTGACAATTAATAACAAATAATCTACACGAATGAATAAAGTATATAAACTGAAATCAATAAAAAAAAAACACGAAAAATCTATTATGACTGGGCCAATGCGCAAGTACACCAGACCAGTATTTTACCACGATTTAAATATTTCTATTATTTAAATTTTCATCTATATCCAGATATAATAATATACAGCAAAATAGAAATAGAAACTAAAAAATCTAAAATATTGAAAGAACTTAATCTTCTGGAGCTCCTCAACGCTGGCAAAAGTTGTTGGAAAATTAAATTTAATAGATTTAGCTTTAATTTTTAGTTTGTATGTATAACGCAAAAAAAGGTTGAGCCTCATCAACTAGTCATTATACAGGAAACAAGGACATCACCAGAAATAATAATGGAGATATATACCTCCTTAAAATGCAAAATACGCAGGAAAAGGAGATTATTTAGACGATAAAGCACATCAAAAACGTAAATGAGGAACAATTATAAGAAAAGAATTAGTTGTTAATATTATTTATTTTTTGCTGAAAAAGTTCTTCTTAAAATGTAACAACGTTACGCAAGCTATCACCCTCTTCCCCTGTTTAATATATACAAAGAAATATGTAATTGTTAGTTCAGATATTTTCAATTATACCCATACTAATACAAAAAATAAATTATACAACTACAATATACATATTTAATTTTTTAAAAAAATATTTTGTATAAATATATGTTTTTAATTTATTTATCTTTAAGTTGTTTTATTTATTGTATAAACTTTTTATTATTATTTAGTTGTTCTTTTGCTCCTTTTTTTTTTCCTCATTATAATTGTTGCCAGTGTGACAGAGTATTATATTACTGAATAAATAAAATAAATATATTCAGTATTTTATTTGTTCGTTTTACAATGATTATTTGATTTTATGTATTTATATATTTACATACTTTTTACACATAATATAATTAAATGACTATCATAGACTTAAAGGCCTAAAGAACATGTTTGTACACATTTAAAGTCATTGTGATGTAATAAAATTAAATTTCACCATGTACTTTTTATATTTCGTATCTTTTGTAGCCCTGATGAAGACCTGCAATGTGGGTCGAAACGTTGGCATAATAATTAAATAATATTATTTCTATAATTTAGTATTTATTTGACCGCACCATTAAAAGTCATTATAGAAGATTTTCGGATTTTGGCCAATTTTGCGAATTTCCCATACTCATCCTCAATGTGCGGCGCTAAAAAGGCGCTACTTTGGCTTTATTTAACCTACACGACCCCCTTCCTCGCCTTTTAGGCAGTAAGGAGGTTTTCCGGGCCAGGGAGTGAGAGCGGGGAATTAATGTAAGAGTTAAAAGCCCCCTCGGCACAAGGACTCGAATTCATAATAATTTAGTCAAGTTATATTTCATCAGGTTGCCGATCACTCCGAGCTCTCTTTCTCCTCACCTAGACAATGAATGGCCCAAACCTTAATTAATAGCAGCCAAATACAGGGATGAACATCCACCTCAAGGTCAATGGCGCATAAAACTCCACATTTCCCAAGATATTTTATAGCTCCCTCTTCTCAAAAATAGTGTAAGTGAAAGTAGAATATACAAAATCGTTGAATATATGCATTTATTGCGATCTGTTCCATATTTTCCCCTTGGCTTGAAATTTTTCATTCCAAAAATGTGCCCCTCCCCCCCTCAAAAATTAAAAACCTCTTCAAAATGTGTCCCCCTCAAAAATTCAAAACCCCTTCAAAATGTGCCCTCCTCATAAATGTTGATGGCGCAACTTGCGTCTTCTGGGCACCCCTGGCCGATCGAAGGACGGTAGATGATCCAGTTACCGCTGGGGCTATCAGAGCATACAGGCTGGGCTGGCCTTGGAGAAGTCCCTCCCCTGCTGGAGGTTCCCGTGGGACTATCCTTCCCTGGAGGGTTCTCATCGCTTCCTCCCAAGTCAGCTTACACACTTAATGACCCTCCGGTGTTATATAGGTAGTGCAGGAAGGCAGGTCGTAGTAGGGGATTCCAGTAATACTCGTAATCAGATAACGGAAATCATCTTTATTTTATCATTTATCATCTTTAACCAGCAGCCAAGACTATAACTCTGCTTAGGAGAACATGTCTTTCATGTTCATGGGTCATTTTTTTTCATACCCTTTTCGGGGTAGCATGTTATATACATAACTCAAAAGGGCTTCAAGGAGAAGAGTTTAGCCAAGTTTAATTAAAATCGTTACAGCTGTTTAAGGGCTACAGTCTAGAGCGACACACGTTTTTCGTCCGCCTTTCTGAAACAGAAGGCTGGATGGTAATTATATGTATTTAAAACACACCTGATCACGATAGAGACGGTTTTGAACAAACGAACATTAACGTTTTATCTATATAGATATAATAATGCCTTGTCAGAGGTACCCATCCCCTTGTCATTTGGCCTCTAAAGAAAACGAAAATAACTTCAAAAGTTTCTATTACTTGAAAACATAAAATACGGACCATTTTTAAGAAGAACCTCTTCCTTTTATTTTTGTCTTTCCAAATGATCTCATCCCTTGGGTTTCTTGTCTTTATTTTTTTTTTTCATTAATATATACCAAAATGTAAAAAATTGTAAATAAATAATGATATGTCGTTTTAAATTAAAAGTTTTTTTTTTAATCACCATCTAATTGTAGTACAGTTATTCCATTAGCTTGTTTAATAAGCTAAAACATCATGTTAATTAAGTTGTTATTTAATAAATTGGAATTTACCTCAAGTTATTCAAACAAATAATGTGATTTGATACTCAACAATAAATGATCGCAAATAATCTAATCAATAAAATAAATAAATAAAATAATACTAATAGAAATTAAACATTGAAAATAATATAGAGATTTGAGAGTAGTTTATTGTTGAAATTATAGGAATGAAAAAAATGGATTTGTAGTAAAAAATGACTTAAATGAGTTAGCCCACTTTTTGACCCAAACATTTGTATCACATATTTGGGTCGAAACGTCACATGTATGGATCCGCCAACTCATTAAAGACATTTTTGACTAAAATCCTGACAATTTTTCATAATTCATAATAATTGAATGACATTCATGAATCTAATACAGAGTGGCAGAATATCAAATAATTATTTTCTTACACAACTTGAGGTATTGCATCTCAGCTTATCTTGTAACTAATCTCAACTTAATTAATATGATCTGATAAAAAACAAATATGTGGATAATTCATCCTAGTTATACGAAAAGCAAAACCAAGCGTAATAAGTCAAAAATTCCTTTTAAATAATTTTAACAAAGACAAACCCTAGTTGTATTTGAAGTAAATTATGGCTAGTTTACTATGAAACAATTGTTAATTATCTAATTTAAATATTTTTTTAGTTATTTCTTCCAATTTAACAGAAACCGTCACTAACTTAAATCAAATACAAATCACAGAACCTAAATTTCTTCTTTTTCTGTATAAAATCGGACCAAAGTTTATATGAATTTTCTTGTAGCTCTTAAGCTCTACCATCACGATTTTGAATGCACCCCTTCACTTACGGGACACCCTGTAGACAATGAAGAACTGTAGAGAATATTAACATGAGACCTTCGGGTTTGTTACTACAAGGGATGTACTTACGAATCCTAGAAGACACCTGGACTCCCGAAGGGCTCCGCAGTAACCAAGGATGCTGAGGAAGAACATTGCGCCGCCGACTGCCATCAGGACATAGGAGATGTTAGCAGACATCGTGGGTTCGGTAAAGAAGTCCAACTGCAAACATAAAAGAAAGAGGAAAATTAATTAACTTAAACAAAGTTGAAAATAAATATATTTTAAGATACATTCCATTCCTCCTATGATCATAGAAATATTTTTTCACATTGTGGCATTATGTAAAAGAAACTAGACCATGACTGTAATTAGGTTCATTCTCCTCCATCTCTCTATTATATATATATATATATATATATGATACACACATATATATTTTTTTTTTGCCTCCCAAGATTTCATCCATTAATTAGATAATTTAACATAAACTTACTACAGAAATTACATGCATAAAAACAACTTATTTTATGAACTTTTATAAATAACAAATATAATTATTAACCCAGGGTTCAGGGTTCGAATCCGGCTGTTGGCAGGTAATTATTTCTTCTCTTACAGCGTGGATCTACCCTGCGGTCGGGAGATCCTCCTGTGGCACACTCACCTTCTACCTATATAAATGGGTTACTCTTAAATAATTAATCAAGGGAAAGGAACCTGGCAGTAGTGTATGATCTTGGTCCGATCACCTCCCTCCACAACCTTTGGTCTAGAAACAGCACTTACAAGGTATTGAACCCAAGTCCCTTCAAGGGTTGGAGTGGTACGTATTTCAATTTATTTATTAATATTTTTGATACGTATTGTAATATTTAGTTTCTTTGAGGAATTGAAACAGAGAGGATACATTCCTTTCATCATACCACAGAATTTCACAGTAATGTTGTTATTATAATGTACAATATTTGTTGTTGCTCCATTCGTGATATAGATATAGAGATTGTCTGGTTTTCAAACTCAAGAACACGCAACTGAGATCCAACAACAACTTCCAGAGATCTTTTGTGAATAAGTATACATTGGAGTTTTGGCATCGGCCAGATTCTACACTTAAGCCATGTAAGTGTGATTATAGCGCTTCTGATCAGCCACTACTTCGTTACTGGTCCTTAATACCAGTAATGCGGCTGAGTGAGAGGCGCTGGGATCTTCTGGAGTCCTGCCTTCCCTTCCCCAAGTGGGGAGAAAGACTTGGCTCAGAGAACTTGAGTGAATGATTTGTTATTTTATTTTTAGATATTGTATAAAAGCATGTGTTTAAGTGGGTAGTTATTTTTATTAGTTCAGTTTCTTTTTGTTTAGTTTATATATATTTACCTTTAGTATTATTGTTTTTCTGTATTTTTTATTTGTCTTTACTGTTGATATAGTGTGAATGTGTTCTCTGAACACTATTATAGATGTGCTTAATTGTGACAGATTGTAATACCTCTCAATAAATATGTTTAAAAAAAGAAAAAAAAAAGAACACGTTACATATAATTGTCCAAGTGAGAAGAAATTTGTCTCTAAATCTCCAAAGAAAAAGTACTAAATATTTAAAACATTATATATCTGCGCCAAATCATCCGATTTTAATGCAGGAAATTGAATGTTTTCAAATAATCATGGGTATAATAAATCAAAAATTGTGTATTGTTTGCGTTATTCGCAAGTATAGTTCTGAATCCATCTTTAATTTTTTTTCATACTCTTTTCGGGAAAGCATGTTATGTACATAACTTAAAAGGACTTCAAGAAGAAGACTTTAACCAAGTTTAATTAAAATCGTTACAGCTGTTAAAGGGCTACAGTCTATAGCGACACACGTTTTTCTGCCTTCTTTCCGAAAAAGACGGCTGGATAGAAACGTTACGTCAAAATTTCAAAGCAATCGGTGAAGAAGTTTCGAAGATTAGCGGTTTTGAACAAACGAACATTTACTTTTTTATAGATATAATGTCTTGTCTTATTTCGATTTGAAATTATTGAAAGGAACACTTCAATTTGTATTTTTATTTATCTCTCCAAAGGAAACAATCAACATCATGGTTCCAATAATACCGCAAACCAAAATCGATCTTATATAACCGATGTTTCTAGAACAGTTGTCCCAACCTCAACTAATATTTTCCTCTTTCCTATTGACACAGTTCCAATCTTCAAACAGAAAATCGAAAATGGAATCCTTCCCTATACTTTAAATATTAAATTTCCCCTCCCCCCTCGATGTTGCACAACAATTTGATACAGTTCCTAACGTATCCTACCCATCAGTTGGCAAATTGTAATGTATTAGCTGAAAACTCTAACCTCGTCATCAATGTAACCTTACACATTATAAAGAGGCCAGTGACTGCACTCACTGTAATTTGGCCCTAGGCCTTTTCACTTTCGTGAGGAAGCACGGTCTTATGATCTTGCGAAAGGCTCTCATTGTATAAGAGAAGGAGGAAGGGCTGTTCGGCGGAGTCCTTCCTGAGGACCGGTTCTGTGGGCGGGACACCTGATGACCTAACTGTCGGGGAAGCGAAAAGCGAAACATATGCATGACCGTAAACCTCTTTTGGCTTTGATGACACCATAACATTTCGAGTAATACTTCTTCCAGCCACGGATATACCTAATATTTATTTATTTTTCCTCTTTGCAGGAATCCTATAATGTGGTTTATTTGCTTTTATTTGCTTTTACGTGAAGTTTTTTTTCGATTACGTGAACAGTACCACAATAATCTATCGCCGTCAATATTATGTAGTGACACAATTATGGGTTCAGATAGTTATGTTACAAATAACCATTTTAAATGTAAAAAAAATATCTTCTCACTACTTCCCATCACTCCCAGTTTGTAGATCATTCATTATTAATTTCTTTCTTCGTTGTATCTTTATCTTCTTATTCAGAATATAATATACACTCAACTAAAACTTTTTAGTTGAGTTATAATCACTTACCATGCTTCACTAACGGATCCAGGAATTAATTTTGGGGAGCTTCAGCCCGAACGGTTTGTTTTTAATATATATTATAACTACCAATATGAAATGCAGTGTTGCCCAAAATTAGTCTTGGTCTTGAAAAGTGCAAGACCAAGACCAATACCACTTAACTATTCCAAGACCAAGAACAAAACAGGTGAAAAAAATCGATTTTTTGAAGAAAACTTACTAAAAATAATTACTAATACTTGACAATTTTATTTATACATAAAGAATTGGTATAACCAATATACTTTTGCATGTAAATCTTCTAATTTTTCTTTCGGACTTCTAAAACCTAATTTCTCCCGTCAAAAAAAATACAATAATATCTCTATAGTAATAACCTAATAGGTAACGCAAGGTCAAGACCAAGACTGAGTAAGCCAGACCGAGACACGTCTTGGTCTCGCATTTAGGCAACACTAATGGAATGGTGTTTAATCGAATCTTGAGGTCCGATTAAATGTAATCAGACGAACGATAATACTTTTTAACAAAATGTCGTCATAAAACATGGTTATTTTCCATTTTGGGGGGGGGGGGAGGAGAGCTATAGAGAGCTTCAGCCCAAAAGTACCCCTCCCCTCCCCCCCCGCAGATCCACCTATGCCATTAATAATGATAACTTTGACTTCCTTAATATTGGGGCATATATTATATTGTGAACAGGGAAATAAGGGTTCCCCAAAATCTACAAATTAATGAATAATAATAAACAAACTTAGCGAAATTATTTTAATGAATTCGACCTATGAGCAAAAAATAATGAGGAGACAATGAAAAACTGTCAAAATAGGAAACTGGGGACAAGATTTATTTTAAACTTGGAAATGAATACGTCCTTATCCTGGGCTATACGGATAAAAAAAATTCTTCTAATATATATTTTTAAGTATAATTTTATCCACATCTAACTAAGAAAAGAAGGATTGATTTGAAGGATTGAAAAATTACAGTCTAAAAATCAAAACATTTTTTATGTGTATTAAGTAATTTGTTTTTGTATTAAGGTTTTAGACAAAATCCAATTTTGCTGTAAATTTTAGATTATATTAAAGGTTACATTGTGCAAATTCGTATAATAAACTGCCAATTAAGAAATGGGTACCTATCAAAAGTCTCAAATCAGCCACGTGCAAAAACATCTCAATCCAAAACGTATTAGAGTGCCTGGCCATAAGAGGTTTTTTTTGTGGAGTTTCAATTTGGTATGGTTTTAGAACCAGAGAACAAGGGAAAACATCCAACAGGTCACATGGCACTTTGTAAATAAACTACACATTGTATAATTCTACTTTCAATGGCATCGGTTTTAAGTAGACGAAAACAATACATTTTTTTAGTTAAGTGGGAGATGTGTCATCACCCTTGAGGGGACTCTTATAAAGGGGATGAGATAAGATATTTATGTTTTTATCAGGGCTTCAAATGAAATTTTAAGATTTATTTTTAATCAGTTTTGGTATGACTGGAATCTTTATTTTCATTTTTTTCTGTTATTTCGGGTATATGAAAATTTAAAAATAATATTCATATTTTTTTCTCCTTCCACCTAGCCTTTTCGGACTACATGGGGGTTTCCTGTTAAAAGCCCCAGCATTGGGACTCGAACTCGTAATCTTCAGTTTATCAGGTTATCGGGCATCGCAACCTGTTTTCGTTTCTCAATTTCTTGAGAGTGTGATGGTAATCGCAGAACCCTCTCCCCTTCAATTCTCTCCGTGTCAGTTCCCCAAAATCAAATCCAGAATTCGCTACTGAGCCCGATCTATTTACAACACCGTGGAGGCACTGTACCGAGACTCCTCGATCCGACTTGGCCCCCAAGACGCCACCCTCACGACCTAATGACGACAGCTGGTAGCGAAGATCCGCCGTGTCCGATTGTATCCTTTCCCAACCCGAGATCCATTCCCACGCCATCTTGTTATACAGTAATTACTTAGGCAGCTTTTGTTTTTGTCTCTCTTCTTCGCCCCGCTATTACTTGTTCAATTTGGAACTGTCGGACACGTCTCGTTAAGGGTTCACGATCATGCTTTGCATCATGGCTCAGGTCCTTGGTTCTCTAGATTTGTTTACAGCGATTTACTCCAACTAAAAAAATAAATACTAAAAACACTTAGGTTAGGTTTAGACATTTTACAAACCATTGGAAACAAAAATCAGTAGTTGAACTCTAAGGGCCAGTTGTACAATTAGCTTGAACTACGGTCGGTCATTCATGATTTTCATTGATTTCAAGGTTGACTATAGTTCACTCCAACTGCACAACTGGCCCTTAACCTTTAAGCTACTGTTTTTGTTCTAGTCAGTGGATGTTCCACCTGCTGTGGATTTTTCAAGAGAAATTAAAGGAACTTTAGGTAAGCGCGAGTGTCGCTTTTACAAATTTGTTTGCTGTTTGTGTTGTTTTAGAGCAGTTAAATTTAACTATTCCTGGTACGATTTAAATGAAAATTCTTCATACGAACCTATCCTTTAATAAACTTTACACCTTATTTAATTTTGTTTTGCTACCTTTGGTATCCTTTTAAAATAATAATAGGTTAGGACAAATACGATTCCCAACGTCCACCATGTTGGTTCTTTTGGAAATAACGAAATGTCCAAGCATCGAGTTTGTTGTTTTTGTTTCTGAAGATTTTGAAACAGCTAAACCCGGCTTAAAATAAACTCTTAACCCTTTCCAAATTTTCTATTATTTTTAATATTATATTTTTTCAAATTTTTAGTGATACATAAATAAATAAAGTTCATAAGAGTACCTGTAATCTAGAAGGATATTCAAGTCATAAAAAAACTAAACAAAGCTTAATCAGTTTCCAGAAGTGCACAAATCATGTGAATTAAATTAAATGTGCTAATTCTTAGTTAAAACTAAATGTTATTCATTTTTGATCATTGAAAAAATTTTGTTGATTTTTTTTTTAGTTTTCGTTTCTAAACCATTAGTAATAAATTAATTATATATCAGTTGTATCAAATCTATCATATTTGAACTATAACTTACTTATTTCTCCACTCCACTACCGGCTGGCATAGGATATAATAAAATAAATAAATATATTTTTTATCAAATTTATAAAATTACAGTTATTTTTTTTTTTTTTTATCCTATCATTCTACATCTACAATAAAAAAAATATATATAAGTTTTAACATGGCCTAACTTGATTTTCCTAACTTAACAATAGATGAAAAAAAATCTACATCATTTTCTTATAAATTATGGAATATTTTAACCTTAAAACTGGTAATATATATATTGAACTATATATATCATAGAAATTAAAACTTTTTGTTGATTACAAAGGTCCATAGAAAATAATAAATCAAAATCATTTAAATTCAATTTTTATTCAAAGGTTCGGTTTAGAATTTCGTACAAAAACTATATCTTTTCTCTGTTTTCATAAATAGAGGAGAAATGAGTATAAGAACGCAAAACAGAGTGGATACCAAGGTATCCTTCAATATGATTGATATAGTGAACAATAGCGTTCAATTACATTCAGAAATGACAATATTAAAAAAATCAATATCAAGTAATAATTACAAGCAATTTATTAATTAACGCCACAATTACTGAATAATATATTAATTGCTCATCTTTTCAAACCAGTTATAATTATATCACTTATTTCTTATCGATTTCTCGGCATTACAAGGAGAATAAAATAAATATTTCATATTAAGAAGAATCATTCCTGAGTGGGTCGATCAATGATGACAGGGTATACTTTTTATTTAAAAGAAAAAATAGGACACTTTAACCAGTATTGACATAGTGAATAATAGGTCAGTTATATTTGTCTTTGGTGACATCATGGTGTGAATATTTTAGGAGACCAATTTTCCACACTAATATGAATTAAATACATCGCTGGAGGTGACAGATCCAAGTATTAATTCATGACGTTTTAATGGATTGAATAATAATTTATACTTACCATTCAGAATAAAACAGTATTAGATATTTGTATTTTCACCTTCAGATTATTTTATTATAGATATTTTGTTCTTAATTGATATTTACTTATTCATGTTTTTAAATAACTTTAAAGTAGAAGATTTCGTTAAGAAAGCAGACCTTTTTCAAATTAAATGACTCATCCAGATTCCTGATGGCCATGTCGTTAATGAGTCCGTTGTGTTCCCATAGTTTGGTATGAAATCGGGAGACTACGAATGTATTTTAAGAGCAGAAACTCATGAGTAGGCAAATAACAGAACTCCGAATACCGACTTACAACAAACAACTATCGGACCAACACATACTTTGTATTACTCTTTATTTCTGTTTACATAATTAACAACACGGACATATCAACATAAAATATATGGGCACTGCTGACATGACCGTTAGGAGGAGACTAAAAAGGAGCTGGATGAGAGACCTTTCCAATTAAAGGACTAAGAATGTTGTGCATACTTGTTCCTCTAACTCAAACGTTCCGACATGAAGGAATACTTTTATGAAAAAGGACTCCTTTCAGTCAATTTTATTCCACAGAAACTTCTATAAAACAATAACGTTACAGTAAATTGAAACAGTCCCGTTACCTCCTCAATCAATACTTTTTAACTGTTTTTCCCAC